GCTGCTGCTGCTGTCTGAAAGACGCTTTGAAGAGTGGGCTGGCTGGCTGCTGGTGGCGTGTTGCATGGACGAATGCTAAAATGCATACCAAATGCAGTTCGAGTTTTTCCACAGTGTTGCCAAATCGGTTTATTTTTGTAGTCAGTCTGCGCCTCCGACTTCTTCTTGAATGGATGGTAAGAATGAGTAAGGCGCTGAAATATGTCAACGCCTTAGACGCGCCCAACCCAACACACAGCCAGCCCGAGAGACACATCCACAATCCACTACGAAAATATTTATAGAAAGGGACTAGCCCCCGCCAAACAGACTGGAGGATAGCCACAGATACAGATACAGATATGTAGATAGATGCATGGATGGCTGGATGGATATTGTAGATCAGAGAGGAGGGCGGGGACCAACAACAACTGACAGTTTCACAATATTTGTGCGAACTACGGAGTAAACACGGCGAGAAAATGTCAAACACGTTTCCAGGCATAGTCAACAAGTCAATAAGAATTGCTTTCCCAGTGTGGATGGGTGAGTGGCTCAGGGATGGGTATACGAGAACAAGCGGATACCCTTTGTGGGATTGTAGAACAAGAAATATTCTTTATAGGTTACATTTCGATAGATCTCAAAGAGTAATTTATAAGAACAGAACCATTAATTTACGAAAATGAAGGGAAGAATAAACTCTTATTTTCCCTTATTGTCTAGATTATGGAACATTATCTATCGTTTTTGCTTATAGCAAATGCTCTTTCCAACAATATCTCGCGAACGGAAATGCAATATCACATCTTATTGGCACAAATGTCATAGGCAGCTGATTTCCAGTTAGATCCTACCAATATTATCTGATTGGGGAACTACTACTCATGACTAACATCCCAAACACCATTCAACAGCTGAACATTAACACATTCCTCAGAACTAATGAATCACATGAATGAATACAGATGAGTACATGAATATTTATAAACTTCAATTGCAGATGGAATTCAATAAGAATTAAACTGCTTTAGAAATTACTCCATCGAAAGAGAACACATAAGAAATTTTTTACCAGCCCAATTGGGAATGGAGGGATCAGCAAAAACCTTATTCTAATCATAATCAGCTTCCCCTACTTCTCTTAATCAATCACCAGCCCGCCCCATAGATACTCGTACTAATGGACAATGTCGGTATGCAATTAATGTGTGGATGGAGGGGTTTGGTTCGGCTCATTGCAATGCTGCTGAGATGGCGTTGGCAATGGCTCCATCAATCATTGATCTCTGCTAACGATCGAGTGCTCACCTGACGCTTGAATCGCTTGCTGGCACTGCGCCGGAGGGTGTTGCAGTTGCCGTTGGTAATGGAATGATCGATCTCCTCCACGGTGGCCGTAATGGGTGCCATGCATCGCTTGCTCAGCTCCACCAATTCGGCCACAGGCTGCACCTATAGATGGGAAATGGTATTAGAAGGCTACTTAAGAAGAAAAACTTAAAACTTACCTCAACGGTGACAGCATCGCCGCTGTTCCGTATCATCTCGATGATAATCTCTCGGGACAAGTCGACCACGGGCGTGCCATTCACCTTGATGAGGCGATCGCCTGGCAGCAGACCCGTGGCGCCGCCTCCAGCACCGGGCTCGGCGAAGATCACCGGCCGAAAGATGGGCGACGTCAGCGACTCTGTGCGGTCCAGGCAGATGGCCTTGCGAAGGCTGAAACCAAAGTCCTGGCGCGGCGACTTCTGGCGCCGAATGACCAGCTGGCGAGGCGGAGGCAGCTGCACCAACTGCACTGGCGGCAGTGGCAGCTGCACATCCTCGAAGGAATGCACCCTGGCCCAGCGGTCGATGCCCTGCGACTCGCCAATGGGACTCAGCGAGAAGGGGGGCGTGGCGAACGAGGAGTTTGTGGTATCTGTGAGACTGTCGGCGCTGGGCGACGGCGATGTCAGCACATGGAGGTGCGGCACCTGCGGAGGCACTCCGTAGCGGGCATTGGCCGGCAGGGTCATGGCCCGCTGCTGGTGCGGCTGATCGCCGTCGCTACGCAGGCTCTCGACGGAGGTGAAGGAGGTGCCGTGCTGACTGGAATTTGAGCCAATCGATCCCGCTGCTCCGCGTGCCGCTCCCTCGTACAGCAGCTCGTTCTGGATGGTGTTGCGCATCAGCATTTCTGGTGTGCCACCAGTGGTGCCTCCACCTCCGCCGCCGCTGCCCGCTGTGAAGGTGATCTCCTCGTGCACGTTGGTCATGTTGCTGCGGGAACCCTTCAGAATACCACGCTTTGGCGGCTTGGGTGGCACAGGCGGCAGAAAGCGATTCTAGAGAGAGGATACCATCAGTTAGGAGGGAAATCTTCAAGCGTATTCCACTGGACTCACCTTTAGGCCACCGGCAAGCAGGGAATGTGTGACCTCACTGTAGTTGACACTGACGCCAGCGCCGTTGGACGAGCGACTCTCGATGTGCGTCATCACAGATGCTACAATTTCCTCATTGCCACGATCCTGCTCCGAACCGCTAGCTGCAGCTCCTGGAGCAGCTGCTGCTGCGCTCCCGTTGACCGCTGCATCTGCATTCAGGGCCGCAAAGAAATCCGCACTGTAATCCGCTGTTATGCCACTGGGCAGCTTCTCCTTTTCCTTGCGACGGCCGCGGATCTTCAGGGAGCGACGCACCTCGTCCAGCCGAAGCAGCTCGTCGGTGCTCATGCTGCCGGTGACGCCGCCAATGCCAATGCCGCCACCGTTGGTGCTGCCGCCGATCCCTTTAGCCTCTTTGCGGAGTTTCTTTTCGCGTTTGCGGCGCTCCTTCTCCTCGTCGCCGGCACTTTTTTTCATGAAGTTGAACATCTTCTGTGGTTGTTTGTGAGTGTGAGTGTGTGTGTGGGGGTGAGGGGTCCTTAGGTTCTAGCTGTGGGATAGGGATAACGATAGGGTTAACAATTCAATGTGTATAAGTTCAAGGGCGTGCCCAAGGTACATATGTAACAAAGGAGGTAAGTAAGCCGGCCGGAGAGAGAGAACTGAGAACTATTCAGCTTGGTTAGCCTCACCTTCTTTTTAATATGCTTGTCATGCCCCGTTAGACTGAACTAATTCGATTTGCATTTTTCTCTGCTCTGCACTCAGTCCTCCTCCCACTCTTTCGCTTGCGGTTGCGTTTTTAGTTTTCTCACACTCTCTCCATCTCACTCGCACTCTCGCCAAGAAACCCTGCGAGCAATGCACCCACCCACCCGCCTCACAAACAACAGTTATCTTCTGCAAGCCTGCATTCGTATTTATGTATGCATGTGTGTTTGTGTGTGTGTGTGTCTGTGGGTTTTTGTATTTGCAAAATCACATAAACAATGGCATATTTTTTTGGTTTATATTGCGTTTTCGCTTTGCTTCTGGCTTTGCTTTGTCATTGAGTTTGTTGCCCATTTGCCCTGTTTTTGTTATTAGTTATTCAATTATGCGCTTTCTTTTTTCCATATTTATTCCATGATTTTGTTTTGTTTTCTCACACACGAGCGCACACACACAAACACCGCACACTCACTCACTTTAGGCTCGGCATTGGTATTGATTGCCCCAGACTCGTCTCGCTCTCATTTGATTTATGTTTTCCACTAATTTAATGCAGACACTCTTCTAATTACCGATACAATCCAAATGTTCTCTCTTTTGAATCACAGCCTTCTAGGCTAGGCAGCAGAAAAGAAAGTCAGGGGAGTCAATAACACCTTTGTTTTTGCAGTTTTTCTACGCCTTTTTTTATGATAACACCATTGCACACACACACACTATAGGCCAGGGCATTCACTCACACGCACACAATAATATGCCTCATTTGTTTATTCAGAAAAGCAGTGGCTGCTGTTTTGTATAATTTATTTGTTTTCTACCTTTTTTCCCCTTGAATGAGCAATGGGAATTTCCTTTTCTTTGGATGGTATGGTTTATTTTTGAACATGCTCCAGGCTGCAGCTGGAGAAACATCGATGTGAACATCGCAAAAGCGCCCTCAAAACATCGAAAACATCGATGTCCGCAAACATCGTATTTACCGATAAGATATACCGCAAAAATACCACCTCGAGCACGACAATTTATAAAATCCAAAAAAGTATGCAATATCTTAAACGGACATCCTGACGCTGATGGAACGAATTTCTGTTTTGAACGACATCACTGTTGATTTGGTTGGCCACTTTTTCTCCATACAGATCTATCTATTTCAAAGACAAATTTAATGATGGCCAGCTGACTAACTACAAAAGCAGAGATAGCCCGATGGCAATTCATTGGTGGGAAGAACGCGACAGAGATATGTAGAATATTTTGAATACAAAATTTCACCGACCGACGATGGCGATGACTAGCTATCGATGTTTGTTGGTGGTGAGACAACTAGGGACAGTTTGACTTCCAAAATTGGTTACCACTATTAAAGCGTTATGTTACATGGCTCTTACATGAATTCTACACGATGAAATTCCCATTCCGTTCCACCACTACCCATACAGTATACTGTATGGCTAGTGTCTGCACTGCAAAGCTATGCACCCATCGCTTGAGAGCGATAGCTTCATAATGGTTTTGCCGATGCTTTAACCAAGGATATACAAAAATATACGATTTTTATATTGGACGGCAAGCATCCTAAAAAATTCCCGCTGCCCACTGTTTTCAATATATCTTCTAAAAAAGCTAGAACTGACTTGAAACAACAACGTTTCGACAACCCTGTTTAGGTGACACACTTTGCATCTTGTTATAATTGTTTAGTATTTTAGTATATTTTTTAGATTTTCCAGTATTTTTTAATGTCAAATGATTTTCTTCGTTTTTCGCTGCATTTGGTCATCGAAAATAGCCAGTTTTGACGGGAAAATAGCGGAATCGGCAGCACTGCCGATTGGCAGCACAAGAAAAGAAAAAACAATTGCTACCCTGAAAAAAAAGTGAAGCGTAAAAAACCAAATTTTATGGAAAATAAGTAAAATAAAATAAAATAACATTGTATTATGTGCAGCAAATCCGTGGGAACAGAAATACGTTTACGTTTTCTCGCAGTGAATTTTGTGTGTGATTTCTGTGTGTGTCGGCCCGTTTCCGTCCTGGTCGCACGGACCAACCGAACAACAGCAGCAGCAGCAGTCTAGAGCCCCGAGCCGCAACAACAACTACAACAACAATACATACGCACAATATAAGCGACGTTGTCGCGCTGCGTCACTGCTCTGTGTTTTTACGTTTGCAAAGACACAAAAAAAAAAAAGAAAACAGAAAAGAACGCAAAGCAAATAAAAAGTAAAAAGTCTGTTGCTTTTTTTGCCCAAAAACAGAGGTCGGTATAAAAAAAGGAGAATTGTTTTTAGTTTTTCCATCAATGATTTGTGTTTGTGGTGGTGAAGGTGAATGGATGGATAGAGGGGAAGCAGCAGCAGCAACATTTATGCCAAATTCCAATAAACAGCCGTGGCCTTTGTTATGTGTGTGTGTTTCAGACATCAATGCAAATAAATATGTATGTATATATGTTTGTGTGCATGTGTACCCCCCACACACCTCTTAATTCACCATAATTATGGTGTTTGGTAGTGGAAGGGGATGTGGGTGCCATGGACAGCGCCATATCGATGGAAAATCCTTCGGAAAAGGATGCTGTGTTAATTAGTGTCAATTAGCCACAATTTAGGATAAACTTATACATTTCGACACTCGTTGGAGCACCCTGCTACATGTGGAATACTACTTAATTGGAATATGCTACAGAAATCCATTTGCGAACGGTATCAAATGTCTTTCTCCATCTGCAGCTTTGAAGAGAGAAATATTAATAGCAGCTTTTTTTCCACCCAAAATAGGATCACTCGCACAGTGCCCCGAGCGGATTGTCTTTCAATTATTACTGGATTACTGGTTACACTTTCAGAAGAGAATCAATCGTAGCATGGCAGGATAGAGAATATATTATCAACAGAAGAAGATTGTCCTCATATTGGGACTGCTTTCAAATCCAATACATTCATAATTGATGTCTAGTGACCACCTTTAAACGACAAATGAGATAGCTGAATACCCTTTAGAGGCTACACCTGTAGGGTATTCCCCCTTTTAATTGGATCGAATCTTAAGCCTCACCTACACGGTCACACACACACATGCAATAGATATAGAATACATGTGTACATTTCCAAGAAATCTACATTCTCATAGCCCCCCTATCCCCCACCACTGTCTGATATATGATGGTAATCTAATGTACAATTTGATAACTGTATTCGTGTCTAGACATGTTGCGCTGCTTGATCACTTGCTGCACCCCCTGCTCCTGCCCATACTCGAGACCCCTCCCCGCCCCACCGCTGTCTGGCCGGCCTCGCACTTTGCAACACTCATGCATCAGTATGTGTGATGATGTGTGTGATGTGCATTTTGTCGATTTTTATTTTATGTACATTTGTTGTTTACAATTTTAGATAGCGAAAATTTGTACAGCCGGCAGCGGCCAGCCATCCCTGTGTCTGTCTGTCTGTCACTCGCCCTGTCGCTGTCCCCCTCCGTACTACCCCCCCCCTTCGACGTTGACATTTTCGCAAATTGTAAATGAATATGCTTTTGCACTTGTGTGCGTGAGTGCGTACGGTGTGTGTGTGTTTGCGTTTGTAAATGTGTGTAAGTTCATGAACAGCACTTCGCAGTCGCAGTCGTAGTCCCAATACCCTTTAAAGAGAAAGTATGATGTGTTTTTGGAGATGTTTGTCATGCAGAAAAGAATCGCCTTGTATGCTCGTGATTAGCATTTGAAAACGATTCGATATGGCCCTAACACTTAGTTTTTAGGGTAGGGAATGTGCCACCATCCAATGCAATCAAAATCAGTTGACTTCACCCAACATATCCCATGAGAACGTTCACTCTTCCAGGGTATCCTATGCTTCGACCCGTTCGAGCATAGCCTTCCCTTCTTGTTTTGATTTAATTTCGCGGTAAATGCAATCGCGAACAATTTTTGCTCGGTACTCGCTGGCGGTATCGCTGCGTAACATGTCGGGGAATTTCGTTTGAAGCCTGAACGTACCAAGCAGCAAAAGCAACAGCAACAATTGCGACAAACCCAATCGCTACGCCAATGCTGGCGCCTACAGCAACAGCGCCACTCGATGTGCCCCGCCATGCCCCAGGGCACCAAAAGCCACATCTGCATGTGGGGCAATGACTAAGAGTCGGCCCGCAAATCCCTTTGGGAGCGGATCCAATCGAATATTTTTTTTTGTAGTTGTTGGTTCGTCAAACCAGCTGCAGTTGTTGCAGCTGCTGACGCAAGCGCCAACAACAATTGCAACAACAATTTGCGGATTTTGCCATAAACATGCAAAATGACAATAACAATTGTTTATACACATGTCCCGTGCGATGATCGGTGGTAAATGCTGGAGCCCAGGGGCGGCGTGGGGCATGGGGTTTGCTGATGGGCGTGACAATCGGTATCAGTGTGCGATAAGCGTTTAGGGGGAGACCTCGATAACTTGGCTCCTCTCTCTCTCTCTCTGTCACTGTCCCTGTCTGTCCCTGCTGCACTAAAGAGCACTCATGGGAGTGCATTTGAGCGGGAGGAACATTCAATCTAACGAGTGATCTGTGTTAGCGAGTAATTCCACTGCTGTAACGAGTGTTTTATTGCTTTAACGAGTTGTAGCTTATAATCTTTTATTTTCTCTACTTTTACTACAGCCCCAACGGGATCATCTTTGATTTTCGCTTGCGTTTCGGAACAGCCTCAACACGAATTACCTACCATTTGCCCTGCAGAGGCGATTGACTGTGGTTGCCAGCCCCGCTGCAACAGGATCAGCCTCCGTCTCGTCCACGTCCACGCCCTCGCACGGCCAGCAGTTCGACCTAAACTCTACCAATAACAACAGCAGCAGCACCAACAATAGCAGCAGCCTCGACAACATCTCGAGGATACAACCATCCTGGCTAGACAGGAGCCAGCAGCAGCAGCAGAATCAGCAAGAGAGTTTGTCTATTGCCAATACACCCAACATGAGCATGGATTTGGCGGCACGTTCCACACTGGTGAAGGAGGGTTGGCTGATGAAGCGAGGGGAACACATCAAGACGTGGCGTCAGCGCTACTTTGTGCTCCGCTCCGACGGTAGTCTGATGGGATACCGCAGCAAGCCGGCGGACAGCGCCAACACACAGTCGTCGGAGCAGCCTGAGCAGCTCAACAACTTTACGGTGCGCGGGTGTCAGATCATGAGCGTGGACAGGCCAAAGCCCTTCACATTCATCATCCGCGGCCTGCAATGGACAACGGTGATCGAGCGGACCTTTGCCGTCGACACAGAAATGGAGCGCCAGCAGTGGACCGAGGCCATACGCAATGTGTCCAGTCGGCTGAGCGAAATGGGAGAGATGGCCATGTCGCCGTCAGTGCAGACAGACATGGCCGACGTGGACATGGCCGGCATTGCCGAGGTGGAACTCTCCGAGCAGTTCTCGGTGCAGGGCACCACCTGCAACAGCAGCGGAGTCAAGAAAGTGGTACGTATTCAATGGGAATCCATCCATCTGGGGAGTGCGTGATTGGAAAGCCTTATCTCGTCTCGTTGCAGACTTTGGAGAACTTTGAGTTCCTCAAGGTGCTCGGCAAGGGCACCTTCGGCAAGGTTATCCTGTGCCGCGAGAAGGCCACTGCCAAGCTCTATGCGATCAAGATTCTCAAGAAGGAGGTCATCATCCAGAAGGATGAGGTGGCGCACACACTCACGGAGAGTCGTGTGCTCAAGAACACCAATCATCCATTTCTTATTGTGAGTAACATTTGAAGGTATTCGACTATCCATTACTATAACATTTTCATTCCTTTGCAGTCCCTTAAATATTCATTTCAAACCAATGATCGCCTGTGTTTTGTCATGCAGTACGTGAACGGCGGTGAGCTCTTCTGGCATTTGAGCCACGAGCGCATCTTCACCGAAGACCGTACACGTTTCTATGGGGCCGAGATCATCTCGGCCTTGGGCTATCTCCACTCTCAGGGCATCATCTATCGCGACTTGAAACTGGAGAATCTTTTGCTGGACAAAGATGGCCACATCAAGGTCGCCGATTTTGGCCTGTGCAAGGAGGACATCACCTATGGCCGCACAACGAAAACATTTTGCGGCACACCGGAATACTTGGCCCCGGAAGTATTAGACGATACTGATTATGGACAGGCGGTGGATTGGTGGGGCACAGGCGTCGTCATGTATGAGATGGCAAGTTAATCATTTACTAAATTATATTGGATACTTATTAATTTGTATTGCCTTTTGCAGATTTGCGGTCGCTTGCCGTTTTACAATCGCGATCACGATGTGCTCTTCACATTGATATTGGCGGAGGAGGTGAAATTCCCTCGCAATATTACAGATGAGGCGAAAAACCTGTTGGCTGGCTTGCTGGCCAAAGATCCCAAGAAGCGTCTGGGCGGCGGGCAGGATGACGTTAAGGCAATACAAGATCATCCCTTTTTTGCGAGTATTAATTGGACAGATCTGGTGCTAAAGAAGGTTCGGAATTTACCATACAATGGGGGTAAAAGTGAAACCTATAATTGTTTTTCTGTTTATGTACAGATACCGCCGCCATTTAAGCCTCAGGTTACATCCGATACGGATACACGTTACTTTGACAAGGAGTTTACTGGCGAGAGCGTGGAGCTGACGCCGCCGGATCCCACTGGACCGCTGGGCTCCATAGCGGAAGAACCGCTTTTCCCGCAGGTAGGTGGATTGGCGCGGAGAATCTAAATACTTTTTACTAATCTCTTTATTTGCACTTGCAGTTCAGCTACCAGGGAGATATGGCTTCCACATTGGGCACCTCGTCGCACATTAGTACTTCCACAAGTCTCGCATCGATGCAATAGAACAACATCAACAACAAAACAACAACAACAAGAGTTAATCAACAACGTAACGTAATGTAATGTCACGTAACAAGCACACACCCACACATCATGTTCTGCTTTCATCACCTATAAACTATATACCTATAGCATATAGCATATAGAAATGGGCAAATTGAAATGAAAACAAAACAAAACAAGAAAATATTAAATAATAATAATAATAATTATGTAATACACAGAAGAAAAAGGCAAACAGGCAAAGGTTTTTCTTGCTACACAACAAATAATAAGGGAATTCAATTGATAGTAACTTATTTGTTCATTCATAATATGAAAAGGGAATGAAGGCGTATGAATGATATGAAGGAGGGAAAGTAACAGATCGTAGACCGTCGAAGCAGAGGAAATAATTTACCACATATGATTACACATATACCATATATCTATCTATATACATACTTATACATACATCTAATAATATAACACTGGGTGGCCGCCATCACCTCGAGTGGGCGTTCGGGGGTCTGGAGTGATTAGTTAATTAGTTACGACAACAACCATTTATTAAGCAAAAAAAAAAAAAAAACCAACTGAAAGCCACAACACACACACACACTTATAGGATATAGCGAACATGAAGATTAAGGTTTAACTGAACAGCAACAAAAAATCGAAATACAAACACACACTCTACATACATACATATATACACACACTCGTATCTATACATTATTTATACTCCAAAGAAGAAAACCACACAATAATTACGAGTTATATATAATGTTAAAAATTGCCTCTAAAGTGCTGTGCTTCATGCAAAGCAAAAACACCCCACAAACACACAGAGCAGAACAGAATAGAACAGATAGGAAAAGGACTAAAATCAATGGATAAATTGCAGTTTGAAAGGCGCCAAAACATTTTCAACAATATTTACCCCAATTGACGCCATTTTTTATTCTAATTTTTTTACCACAATACAAAATATTTGTACATATTTATATTAAAAAAAAGCGTGAGAAAAATGCCCTTAAAAAAATTACACAAAAATGAAAAGTGTCGCGTGGAAAATGGTTTAACCTTTGACACCCCAAACAAAAATATATACTTGTATAATTCAAAACTTTGTCATTTAAATTTTGGCATTGCAAAAAGTTCACAAAGTAAAAACACATTTTGTATTTGTAGAGCGATTCAGGCATAAAAAAGAAGAGATAAAAATCTAAATGAAAATCAACCACAACAGACTTACACCTAGTTCCACGAGGAAAAACTAAAAAGAAAATGATATAAAAAGGAAAACACTAAAAAAAAACAAAAAGAATTTTTGATATTTTTATATGCGCAATAAAAAGAAAAACAAAGGAAATTAGGGAAAACTAAAAAAACACAAAAAAAAAAGAAAATTAATTTTATATTTCGAAAAGAGAACAAAAAATATATAAAAAAGCAAAGCAAATTTTGTAAATAAAAAAATAATGATAAAACAAATCAAGTTCGGGCATTTCAGAAACAGTAACCAATACAAGAAAATGAAAGCATAATCTCTCTTCTATAGAATGTAAAACAAACCCTATCAATCGATTAAAACAATAACCAAGAAATACTGAAAACGAAATGAAGCAAAGCGAAAATGAAACGATATGATGCCAAAGAAGCGGCAGAGTTATAGAAGGGAACCTCGAAGAGTGGACAACCGAACCCATAGGTCAGACAGAGCCCCAGTCTTGTGTTAGGACTTGTGATGATGATGATTCCGAAAGGCAGTAGGAGAACAGAGAGAGGGAGAGAGAGAGAGATATCAGATATATCCGTAGGCAGCAACAGCTTGGCGTTTTGGCCCGACATCTAGGCTAGCCAATATCAATCTCAGATCGATCAAGCAATACATAGACACAATATAGAACCCTCATAAGCATGGCTTACTAGACATACAACCCAAGAAAACGACTCGTCACGTCACTACGAACTACTCTTTACTCTTCGACCCCGGCCCAAAACAAGATCCACTTTGATAGCATAAAGTGAGAACGTGAGGGGTAACTATAGCTATAGTATCCCATAACCGAATCGAAGCATTTCCCCAACCATAACCACAAAGGCGTGGACGGTGGTGGACGGGGAGGAAAATAATCTATAGAAATAGTTGACTAAGTTTACTGATTTTTGTAAGAGAACTTTTTGATTTCGATTTATCAACACACACGAACTGCAAAACTACAATGTGTTCTGAAGGAAAGAATGGCAGGAGGAAAACATGGTTTGAAAACTTGACTATATATATATGTTTAGGGAGATATATCCAGTCAGATCTTAGATCAAGTCGAGAGCAACTTGAGTTGTTTTTTGTATTGTAAAGTGAGAGAGAGAGAGAGAGAGGGAGAGAGGAGGGAGATGAAACGAGAGAGAGGTGGAGATAGAGAGTGAAGAAACCCAATCCCGAACCCAAAATATAACCGAAATATTGATTAGGTGTAATTTTTGATAGGCGAATTCTAGCAGAGTTCGCACAGTTTTAAATACTAATAATAATATTACTAAATAAAGATAATACCTAAGCTGATTAATTGAAGAAAGAAGAAGAAAAGAAGAGAAGAGAAAACGATTCAAGATCGAAACTAAAATATATTATATATTATATTATATTATATATTGAAGAGGACTAACGACAGCATCAACTGAGCAGCAACCATGTAGATAATGTACGATCTGCAGAGTACTATAATGATAACGATTAATTTATACGCGCTTACGCATACCAACATGCATACATTACGAGAATATATATATATATATGTATACATATATGTACAAGATATATATACGATATAAGGTGTGTATGTATATTATACATGCATTCAAAACCAAGTTTATTATACAGTGAAAAACATTATAATAATAAAAATACATAAAACCAGACGGGGTGTTTGCTTCGGAAGGAGTGGAAAAATGCTAACCTCTCCAGAATAGAAATAATAGAAAGAAATTCCATGGCAAATAACTTAAAAATCCAACACCTGAAACATTACAAAACTATTCTGCTATAATTTCCAGAGAATTTTCCACGTTAAGCTCCCCTCTATAAGAACTCCACACGTATCCAAGCATAGCCAGCTCTTCTCCATGGCAAAATTGGGTCAGGAAAACTATGCGAAAAAGAGGGAGCAGCAGAGTCCAGCAGTGGAGGAAGGAAAAACTCACTGGACAAGCGCCAATGACCGACTTAAATATTCGGGAGCAGCAGCTGGAGCTGGAGCTTAAGTCCGAGTGCGTGTTAGGCTCCAGTCGCAGTCGCAGTCCAAGTCCAAGTCCCAGCCCCAGTCATGGGATGTGGAGAACGCGAACAATGCGTTTTGTCCGATGATTAATTGCAACGCAATCTTGGAGGCCACGAGAGTCGAAGCCGTGGCTCTGCTTGGAGGCCGCCGCGGCGCTGTCAGCTTTCCCCCAACCAATAGTAGGTACATACTGGTGGTGTACGTCGCATGTACGTCTGCCTCTGAGCATGATATATAGACAGAATGTGTGTCGCGTATTAACTGAGACACAAAACGGATTCGAAATTAAATTTTGCGACCAGAGGTGCAACGAAAGCGAAAGTGAATCTGAATCACATTGAACTTGAGATGGATTTTTGGGTGTGGGTTTGTTGGTAGAGTGCAAGTGCGAGTTGCCAGATCTGGGTTGGGTTGGGTTGGGTTGCATCCTTAAGCTAATATTGCACCGGGCTATGACGGCAACAGCAGCAGCATTGATGGTGTGTGCCTGCCGGAGGGGGCCATAGAGGCGGCCTAGCCCTAAGTGCTTAGGAAAAGTGCGATTTGTACTTTCCCTTTTTCGATGCGATGCTGAGCTGACGGATGAGACGACGACGACGACAAATGAAATGGCAAACACCAAATCCAAATGAAAGCCCCCAGGTATTGGTTAGAGGCGAACAGCGAATGTTAGATGCTCTTGGTGGGGAATTGGAACTGCATTTGCTAGAAATTTGGTAGAAGTTTTATGAGATCTTCCTATGATCTTGGGCAAGACCTGCAATCCTGAATGCGTTCGTTAAATCTAGCAGCATCTTTGATAGGAAAGATTCTATGAAATATCTAAAAAAAAAACAAAATTATTATGAAGGGTACTCACACTCTATCGTGTGGATTCGTAGGTTAGAGGAATATCCTGCCTAAGATGCTCCAACCTGAGAAATATGTGGATAAGAGTTTTACGAGTCTATAGATATATCTTTTGCTCTGCCTATCTTTGCTTATCTTTATAATATTTCTAGTTATACCCTTAACTCTCTCATCAGTCTTTAGGGAAGTTTGACGACTGGCGTTGCGGCTCGTTTGCTTTGTTCGCTACGCGCGTTTTTCGCGCTTTTCATTTGCCCAAGCAGCGATTTTCCTATTTTCACCTCTGGCAAAAGCCAAAGCCAAAGCCGATGCTCTGGGCTGCTGCTGCTGCTGTTGGTCTTGGCTGTTGGCTCTCGGCTGTTGGCTGTTGCTTTATAGTAATGTGAAAATTTCTGAAAACTAGAAAACTAACAAACAACTATTTGCTGTGGCAGCAGCGGCAGGGCAGGGCAGGGGCAGCATTGTGAGTATGTGCTGGCACTTAACAACTCCGTGGCTACTCCATGGCCACGCGGACAGAGCAGGGAGCAGAGCAGAGCAGAGTCAGAGAAGAGTCTAGGAAAACAGCAGAAGAAAAGTGAAATACATCAAGGCACGTCACATCCATCAGACATTTATGAGCAGCACGAGAGCACGCCCCATCTCCCAGTCGCAGTCGCAGTCGCAAGCCACAGACCCAGACGAGACGAGATCGGAGCAGGTCTTACACCAAAGACGAGGTCCACCAAAAACAGGCTTCCTTCGGAATCTGCCAGACCAGACCCGACCAGACCAAGCCAGACCCCCGGCCCAAAAGCCCAGCCAAAGCGTGGCTAATGAATTGGAATTGTTTAAAGAGCAGGAGGGGCATGGAAACTGAGGCCTTGGTCTAAGTGTCGTCGTCGTCTTGCTGCAATCGAAATTAATGAAAAACTTTCGTTTATTTAATTGCACAGAGGCCTAGACCCAATGCCTGATGCTAGAAGCAGCTATAGCTGGGGGTTGCGGCTGCTGCTGCTGCTGCTGCAACAGACACGTCTCAGTCTTTATGGGTTATGACCATATGAGATCCATAGGGCAACACATAACACACAATCCAGCATTCGAGCATTCGAGCATTCGAACATTGAACATTGAACATCCATCGATGACTCTGACTCGGACATCGACAGCGGCATTTGAGTGAAAATGATTGATTGATTGATCGTTGTGGTGTGTGTATATGTATATAGCAATCATCGTTGTTGGCGGCGGCGGCTGTTGTTACTCCTTTTTGGTGTAGCCAAAGATCTGTGCGAAACTGTGGGGCAATTATTTATTTGTTTCTCGCATTATTTTTCAGATTTCGCCGCGAAATTTCGTTTATTCGCTTTTAAGGGGATCGATCAGATCGATCCATGAACAATCGTTGATTGAGAGACGACGGACGACATCGAATGGGGAATTGGTGGCTCTCCAATCTGCTGGCTAATTGCCGCTGCAGCTGTGGCGGGGTGGGTTGACGCGGTGTGGTGTGCTGTGGAG